TACTGACCAATCTATCTTAGTAGCACAATCCTGAATTTCTGGTATGTTAGCTCTCCATATGTTTGGGCGAGGCTTAATCTGATCGTATATCATATCGCTAGCTCTAAACGTGAATGATAAAACAGCGTGATCGCTATTTACTAATGGGGGAAGAATATTTAGGTTGGCAATATCCTCAGTCCAACAGAGAAGAACCTTGGTTTACACCAAAACGTGTAAGTTTGGATACATGTTGTACTAATGCATGTTCCATTACTGTTTCCAAGAGCCTGCTATCAAATGAGTTTATAGAGCATTTCGTGGTCATCTCAGTCCAACTAATGTCAGGTGCATTAAAGTCTCCTAATTTTTATGTTGGTTTGTTCTCTGAGCTGGATGGTTTGGTCGTGGAGCTTTCATCGTCCTTCTGAACGACATCATCAGCACAAACTTCGGGTAGAAGTGAAGTGTTTGAATTTCTCCACATGTGATTCACAGCTTGTCCTCTGCACCTCGATGTTGATTGGTTCTTATTGACCTTAAATCTGTCATTGTTTATTTCTTTGTTTTGATTGTCTCTCCTATTGTTTTGATTTTTGTTCCTATGCTCCTGCATAATTTTCTTGATTGGTTGATAGATTGGATTGATTTCAATATGTTTGTTTATTGCAGATTGACCTGAGTGCCAAGCTTCTAAAAATTCTCTGGTATTTTTGGAATTGCCTCTGTCCAAAATCTGCACATTTTCCCAGTCGAATGTATGTCCGTAGTTGTCCACGTGTATTGATATGAGTGAAGAAATGTCGTGGCGTTTGACTGCTAATTGGTGTTCATGTAGGCGAAGATGCAGGGGGCGTCCGCTTTGTCCAATATAGTGTTTGTTGCAGTTGGTACAATTTATCTTGTAGATGATGTTTGTTTTGTCTTCTTTTGCCATTTCATCTTTTGGTTTGCATAAGATTGAGTGGAGGGACTTTGTTGGTTTGTGGGCTACACCTATTCCGAAGGTTTTCAGCAGCCTTGTTGTCGTTTCCGATATGCCCTTTATGTATGGTAGGGTGATCCTTTTGTTGATTTTTATACTTGACTTCATTTCTGATGGTGTGTGCGACTGGTATTTTTTGATGAAATTGATTGGATAGCCGTTCTTTTGAAGAATGGTTTTCAGGTGTTTTTCTTCATTTTTTCGTGCTGTGATTGCATTGCAGTGTGTTCTCGCCCTCTTGAACAAAGTTTGTACACAGTTGATTTTGTGAGTTCTTGGGTTGTTGCTATTGTAGTTGAGAATTTGATCGGTGTGGGTCGGCTTCCTGTACACTTGAGTCTCTAGTTTTCCTGTGTCCGTTCTGGTGATTAATACATCTAAGAATGGCAACTTGTTGTCCGACTCTTGTTCCATTGTGAACTTGATGTCGTTGAAGACGTTGTTGATCTGCTCGTAGGTGTTTTCTAGTTCCTCCTTTTTGACGATGACGAATGTGTCGTCTACATAACGAATCCAAATTTTTGGTTTGATCACTGGTAGAATTGTGGTTTCTAGTCGTTGCATTACTGCTTCCGCGATGAGTCCTGATATTGGTGATCCCATTGGTGTCCCTTTTGTTTGTTTGTAGATTTTGTTATTGAATTGGAAATATGTTGTTAGACATAGATCTATGAGTTCAAGTAGGCTTTGACTTTGAAGTTTCGTGTATTTCGCGAGGTTTTCGTCGTTGGTTAGGAGCAAGGACAGAGTTTCTTTTGCTAGGTTTGGTTCAATTGAAGTGAATAGTGCTGTCACATCGAAGGATATCATTAGTTCGTCGTCGTTGATTTGAATGTTCCTAATCTGATCAAGGAATTGTGTGGCTGATTTGATGGAGTGGTTCGACGAATCTACTAAATGTTTCAGTATTCTTGAGATTTCTCTTGATAAATTGTACGTTGGTGTTCCTGGTAGTGCTACAATTGGACGTAGTGGGATGTTTGGTTTGTGTATCTTTGGTCTGCCGTAGAACCGAGGGAGTACTGGTCCATTAGATTTCATTCTCCATTGATCTTGCTTCGTTATTTCTCCTGCTTTGACGAGTTTGTTTAAAGTTTTTGAAATGCGATTGTCTAGTTTTTAGACTGGATATATGTCCATCGGTTTGTATGTACTTTTGTCCTCGAGTATTTCCTCGGCTTTCTTGATGTATTCTTCCTTGTCCATAATCACCGTAGTACGTCCTTTGTCTGCTGGAACGATTACAATATCTTTTCTGGTTCTGAGTTTCTTCAAAGCTGTTTGTTCTTGTGACGTCAGTTGGTTGTTGCCCTTCATCCGTTGAGTTAGTGGTATTATAGATTGTCTTATTTCCTGTTGCGTTTCCTCACTTATTCCGGACGTTTTGAGTGATGACTCTAGTGCTGCGTAGAATGCTAGTTTTGGGGCATCGCTTGTATTGTAATTTAATCCTTTTCGGAGTAGCTGTTCTTCTGTGTTTGTTAGTGGTTGCTTTGATAGGTTGACCACGCTGTTGTTTGTGTTTTCTTCTATAGTTGGTTTTGAGATTTTGATTATTTTCTTTTTAAGGATATTTCTTCTTTTTTCTCTGTGTCGTTTGCATAATGTTTCGATGGCTGTTGACAAGGTTTCGAAGTGTTCTGGTGTGAGTGTCTGTTGTAGCTTCCTCTTTTGGTCCTCTATGACATGTTGGTATTTGCGGATCCTGTAATGTGCGTCCGTTATCATTAGATGAACCATTTTTCTTCCACTTTGCTCAGCTATTTTCCATCCTAATGGGCAGTTGATTGGAGGTCTGTATCTTACACTTGTTGGCAGAACATGCTGGCGAATGCACTCGTGGAGAAAATATAGTTGTTCTCGAGTGGAAGCTTGCCTTTTGGCGAAATTCTCCCATTTTCGAACACTTCACTTCTACCCGAAGTTTGTGCTGATGATGTCGTTCAGAAGGACGATGAAAGCTCCACGACCAAACCATCCAGCTCAGAGAACAAACCAACATAAAAATCACCCACCTGAGCTACAAATCTTCTCCACCATCTCAAAGTCTCCTAATATCAAGCATCTGTTATTTGCACTCCATAGCCGAATGTGCTCTAAAATAAAGTCATCAGCTAAGCAGATTGGGCTGCGATAGATGACACCGAATGCAAATGTACAACATCCGACAGTGAGTTCACAGCTAATGACTTCACTAGTTCCACTATCATGGGATTCGCAAACGGAGGAGCGGATATTTATACTATTGGCTATGTATAGAAGGACGCCACCTCCTTTCCTGCATCTATGTCTATCACTTCTTAAACAATGATATCCGGATAATTTTGGGGTGATATCGAAGTCATGGACTAACCAAGTTTCCGTCACAGCTACAATGAGTGGCCTTAATTTGTCCACTAATGTTCCTAGCCCGTAGAATTTATGTTTTAGACTACGGGCGTTGGCATACAAAACTCCTAGGGGGAACGAATTATCCACATAGGCCTTGGTAGCATTCGCTTTCAAGACCTGACTATTCGAAAACCCACCAATCGGAGATTTTCTTCACCGTTTTGTCGACGGGTTTCTAGTTCAGCTAGTGCCGTCTTCCGTTTTATTCTATCTTCAAGAGGCACATCCGGTCGCATTCGAATGTCAGAGTTGTCGTGACTTCGAGCGTCACTTAACAGAAGATTACGTTGTTTCTCCGACCCTAAGATTACCTTAAGGAGTCTACACGGTCGGGGTAGAACACTGTCATCGGCCCTTTTACCTATTCTAACTAATTTTTTGACCTGAACACCTTTAGTGTTATCTGGTAATATGCTACGGATATATTCTCCGAGCCTCTCTAAGTCAGTGGTGTGTCTAACCTTAGGATCTGGATCGTTAGACCCTGGCAATTTACTCACAATAATATTCGATGATATTAAATTCCTCTCAGTCGCACTAGGATGATGATCTGTCGTTCTATCAGAGTGCGATAATGCATTGAGTGACTCAGACTGTGAGTTCCTCAATGGCTTGTCAACCAAGTGTGCTTTATCATTAGCTTTTTTTCCTTTCCTTTTCCTCTTTACTGCGGTCCATTTTTGGTCATTCAGGACAGCTGCATTGGGACTATTGGGGACGGTGACGGTCTTATCCGGGTCCTCAATTTCTACTAAGGATACATGATTACTCATGTCAATACCATGTGGTGATTTACTCCTCGTTTGTTGTAACGGAAGTTTCACTTCGTCATTAATTAGAGTAGGTTGTTCAGCGCGTTTTGTAACAGCACTTACAACACTGACACAGTCTTCACTGTCAGTGCTTGCGTTACTAGCGCACCCACTATCTTTCTTTTTACAGGCTAGAGCCAATAGGCTCATAGCCTCTTGAATTAATGTCGTCTTGTTAGTACAGCAGAACATACAAAGCCAGTGCGAGTTAGGCTTAGAACATCTTTTGTATGCAGCTGGACTGAGACGGGTACACATCTTGTGGTACCATTTTTTGCATTCATCGCACTGCATCCCTTCATCTACGGGGAATGAACAGTTCGGCTGTCCACATTTGAATGAACTACCAACCATTGTAATCAGATTAGGTTTAAAAACAATATGATCACAATATTAGCACAAGCGTCAGAGTATATGCAAAAGAAGGAACCACGAGACAAAGTTTTCAATAAAATTTCAAACCTTAACTGAATTAATTCAAGTTAAAGTAGACCAAGAATGCTTTTGATACAGCAAATACACAAAAGCAACGATAATCACAACAAGTATGAAAGTCACTGCCCTTTTTGAAACGCGCGCCAAAATGACCTAGGCAATATTTCAACTCAACGTTTCAAAATAAAAGATAAAAGGGTCAACCTGGTCATTCTAGAAAAAAATTGTGTATTTTCACCATTTGTTCATTATTTCAATCTTTATCGCCAATTGAGTTTAACTATTTAGTGGGAATATTTGACATGACTAGGTCATTTAAGTGGTGATTTTTGAACTAGAGACACGGCGAATCAGGGTTTCCATCTATCTAGTTTCCGTTATTAGCGCATGACTCCTTGATGTCATCTGAGGTTAAGGTTTTTACTCTTGAAGATGTCAGAAAACACAATAAGCCAGATGATCTTTGGATTGTGATTCACGATAAAGTATACGACTTGACAAAGTTTGCATCTGAGGTAAGACTATATACAATTACGTGTTACAGCATCAATTCCGGTAGTAAGACATATAACCTGAGTCTAAGTTTTGCCGTACTTACCTAGACAGAAACCTACCATTCTTTCATTTCGATGTAGAACATTCTCGATCTCCAGATTTTGGGGAAAGTTTGGGTTTTTCCCAGAGATCATATGAAAATTCGTAGTTTGGTGAAAGCCAAAAAAATTTTCATAGAAGGTTTGGGAATTTCCCCAGAATAACTTGATATTTTTGGGAGAAACCACGGTCTAGGGGAAATTTCGATGGTTTTATCTCATTTCCCCAAAGTTTCCCCAAAACCGATAAAACTTTTCCTCAAAATCGGGAGATTTAACCGGCATATGAAGGGTAAGTTCTTTGATGTATCTCTATATCCTTAGTTTCTAAAGCTGTCTCTGGAAGCCACGTGTCGAAATAAAATAAGCTAGCACCATAATATGTAAGACCAATATTTTTTTCACTTGGTGTGAAGTAAATATTTCAAGACAACAATTTTGAACCCCAGGATGTGTTTTTAAAGATTTTTTTTCCACATGACGATGACAGAAAAGGCGAGACTGACCTTTGAGCCACCTAACGTGACTTTGAGAATGTCCACTTACTATGGTAAAATGAGGGCTTTAAATTAGTGTGAGGAATTGAGATTAAAATTTTAGAGCCAAGAATTTGGTTTGTATATTGTAATGCGAGTAAACCACATTATTTATGCGAAGTCTGACTATGACAGTTTTAGTTGGATTTAAACCAATTTCTCGGTTATAGTATATTACTTAATTCACTGGAAAAGTTACTTTATGAAAACAGTCCGTTCTGTCTTATTTATTTTGGTTGTCGATAAGTTACATTTCCAAACATTCTGTGTTATTTTAAGGGTGTAAAACTTCAAAGTATCACACGTTTGCAGGTCAGCGGTACTCGATTACAAGTGTCTACAAAGCATCGCCAGTGTATTACGTAACCACTAACTTGGCAGTATTGGTTGGCGTATATTACTAGTTTAATATCGTAGCAGACTAGAAAGGTTGTTAAGTTTCAACGAAAGTAGGCTGAGGCATGTCTTACGCATTAAGCTGCCGCCTACCCCAGTACCTTACATCGACTGTGTAGTTTGTATAAAACTAAAGGCAACTAACTGCGGTGTCAGTTAATGAAATCTTTGAATATTAACCCAAAATGCAGTGCTCACTTCTTGGTTAGGGTTAACAAGATAACTGTTATATGCAGTTGGATACTTAATGTAATACTTTTCATGATTACAGCTAAGAGACCTCAGCTAAGAAACTGCACATTACTTTTGTAAAAAATGTACTCAAAAGCTACACTCGGATCGTCACTGGCTTTTATTATGAGGCATAGTTAACACTATATCAAATTCTTAAGGCACATGATCTTTAGGACCCCAATCAGGGAGTCACGATAGAACAACTAGTTAACTACTTTTTATTGTCTCAGCGTCGCAAATAAGGCACGATGTAGAAGCAGCTGAGATAGGAAGTTGTAGCGATGTAAATTCGCGTGTAATGATGATTGCAAGTACCGTTCGTGTGACTGGTCATACTCAACCATTCCTTATTATGTATGCATGGGTTAGGGTACTGCCCGAATTCACGGGCTAAAGCTAGTAGTTTTCTTAAAGTGTCACTCTCTAAGCCTTTAACCAAAAGTTAGCTATAGCAAGGTAGATTCACCCGTTTTTAGCCTCCCCAAGTCCTCAACATAAGGTTACCCTATGATTGAAAAACCGGCTTCGGTGGCCTAAATATACGTCACGAATGTCGTCTCCGTGACTTTCATTTCCTGCACTAATCTCTGACTCTGGGACTGAGTGCAAAAAGCAGAGATCTGGACAGGTTATGACAGCACTATACTATGAAGGAAAGCTGTATGCGATTGGCATCTCTCGGTCCACCACGAATTTCTGGCTAGAGTCTTAGTTATGGACCATTCTTGTTTGAGACATGGATCACAATAGAAACCAGTAAAGATCCATAGCTTTTTACATTCCTCTTAAAATTGGAAGAAACTCTCTTGACTGAAAACAGTCTTTCTGGTCATACTTCTCATCTGGCCGTATGTCCTCTTATTTACTCTTCTCGTCCATTTATTTATTTTTGATTGTTTTCTCCCTCCCTCGTCAATCTCTTCGCAGTTCGGTTTCTTTGTTTGTGTGGCGCCAAGTTGTACTGCAAATAAAATAAGTTCTATGCTTGCTCCCCTTAACAACTTTTATTCTTAGTTATCCATTATCGCTTGTATTATTACTTCCAAGCATTCGGTTTTCCTTTTGATTTCTGTGTATGTTTATGTAATGTATATCAATATCAACCGATGAAAGCTTACGTCATTTTGTGCATTTATTTGTCTGGTTGTCTGTTTCTACAGAATTTCTACTACTTTATTTACTTCCATCTAGCATCCAGGGGGTGAAACTGTATTAGAACAACAAGCGGGGGATTACGGTACCGAACCATTTGAAGATGTAGGACACTCATCAGATGCTCGCGAAATTATGGAGCAGTACTATATAGGTGAAATAGCACCTGTACGTCTGTTTTTCGATTATCTAGTTTGTTTTTTCTTCCAGGCCGACCGTGAACGAAAAAGTAAATTCACCTCTTCATTCACACTAAAGAAAATAGATGACTTTAGGTAACATTTCCTCGAATTAATGATAATTTTTCCATATTTTTTGTCTTCACTGTATTCTGACTTATTATTAACCAGTAATTTTACAAAAATCTGCAGTCCTTCACAAACATATTCAAAATATAATACAAACCCTTATTTAAGGACAGATATAACTGCTTATCGTTGAATGTTTCATACCTTAAGATCCACTTTATCAGTCCACTCATCCTTTTTTATTATGGTAAATATAATTGCCACACTAAAGATTAGCTCGGCATTCTTTGTTTGGGGCGTGTTCTTATTACATATTTTAGCAAATATCTTTTAGTTGTTCTCAATATTTAGGACTTCAAAGGGACACAATTAAAAGTCAAACTAGCTTTGTTTGATTTATGATTCCTCTGTTGTACTGGCGTTTAGATTTACTATGACAATATGCGACTTCATTCTCCGTACTTATTCTTACTCTTATTTGCGACTATTGAGTCACACTACTTTACCGAATGTTTCAATATGGCTGAAAATTAAGTGTACACATTGATGTCATTTAATTGTCCTAAATTTAATAGACTGCTTTTTAAATAAGCATCAATGCTACCTGGAATTAAGTTATGATATACCGAGCAATTATCAAGGCTGATAACTAATCACGTAAGCATTAATAAGTTAAACATGTGAACTTGTATGAAAGTTGATGTATATTGGTGAATAAGATTATAAATCTGCTTCGATTTATTTATTTATTTAAACACATATATATTGGTACAAAAGGGCACCAGGTACATATGCGCCACACAAAATAATGAAAGTAGGAAGAGAAGGGATGAAAAGATAAGGCGGACTGAAATGTACAACCAGAAGACTCTTTCAAATAGGAAAGTAAGAACCATACTTTATGTAGAAAGTAAAAGTAGGTTGCAGCAGGATCGTCACTGGCTTCTATTCCGAGCCATATCTGATAACGTCTCTAGCCACTGTGTTGCACCATCTCTCGGACCCCAACCAGGGAGTCGTGAAGGACCAACAGAAGCTAGCCCTTTGCAGCTTTCTTTCATACCAAGACACCATGTCATACACTGACCTCCTCTCCGCATTTTCCAACCAGTCCCAGGGTCGGCAAATAATGCACGACGTGGAAGTCTCTGGGACGACATTCGTAAAACATGTCCAAGCCACCGAAGTCGGTGTTTCAAGATGGTGACACCAATTGAATTATCGTCTCTGTGCCCGAACACACGATGCCGAACCTCTGCATTACTAACATGGTGTTGCCACTGTATGTCAGCAATCCTTCGGAGACAACGATGATCGAACACAGAGAGACGTCTAACATCCTCAACTCGGAGAGGCCAGGTTTCACAAGCATAGAGCAAAACTGCTCTCACCGACGCGTTGTAGATCCGACCTTTTTCAGCCAGACTAACATCACGAAGGCGCCAAAGATGGCCCAGATTGGCATAAGCCGCTCTGGCTTTCACTATACGTGCATCAATCTCATCACTCACGCCAACACCAGCACTTATATAGCTACCTAGATACACGAACTTCTCAACTACTTCGATCTCTTCACCATCCAGGGTGAGTACAGGATGAGAATCCTGCCAGTCTTGTAGGAGTACTTTGCACTTGGAGGGTGCAAAGCACATATCGTACCTGCGGACACTGATTACCAACTGATTAAGTGCTGATTGCATGCCTTGGCCATTATCGCACAGTAAGACAATATCACCCGCATACTCAAGGTCGAGAAGTCGTTCTCCAGGCAACATATCCACACCGCCATTACTTACATCCATCAGAGCTGTTTCCAGGATTTCGTCGATGGCAAAGTTGAAGAGGAATGGTGAGATCGGGCAACCCTGCCTAACCCCACTGCTCGAGTGGAACAAGGGAGAAAGGTGGTTGTATGCCCTCACTCTGCCTGAGGTGTTCGTATACAGGGCCTTTAAGATGTTAATGAACTTCTCAGGCACACCCTTCTTCAATAGACAATCCCAGAGAACAGTCCTGTCCAACGAATCGAAGGCCGCCCTGATATCAAGAAACACTACGATTGTTGGCCTGCGATAAGTATGACGGTGTTCTAACATTTGGCGGAGGGTGAAGATGTGATCAATGCATCCTCGACCAGAACGAAAACCAGCCTGCTCCTCGCGAGTCAATCGTTCTCGGGTTTTAAACAACCTACGAAGAATGATAGAAGCCAATAGTTTGGACGCAATCGGAAGTAGACTTATCCCCCGATAGTTATTGCAGGAACAACGTGAACCCTTTTTAAAGATAGGGACGACTATTGACTCATTCCAAGATGTTGGAACACTTTCTTGCTCCCAAACCTTTGCAAACAACACAGTCAATTCCTTAGTCAGAAAGTCACCACCATCTTTAAAAAGAGCCGGAGGTAAGTCATCTGGGCCAGGTGATTTGTAACGTTTCAAGAGTTGAAGTTCCTTGAGGACTTCCGCCTCGTTTGGTGGATCAGTCGTCACCGGCCATGGGGGGCAGGGCAAGCTGGTTGATGTTGCCGGAGCAGCAGGCCAGTTGAACTGCCCTTCGAAAGATTCCGCCCATCGTCCAAGACGTCGACAGATGTTAGTGATTGGCATCCTGTCATCCTCACAGATTGTTTCACTCACACCAGACTTCTTGCTGCCAGTGGCTCGGATGAGTTGGAAGAGCTTCCAGCAGTTACCAGATGCAGCTGCTGCTTCCATCTCATTAGCACGCTCCGACCACCAGGCTTCCCGGTCCTTACGCAAGCTTTGCTCGATTTCATTACGTAACAGCCTTCGTTTGTGGTCAAACTCACGGTCACCCGGAGTAGACCGACGGGCTTCGATCAGTTGTAAGGAGCCAGAAGAGACCTAGTGCTTGTAAGCGGGACGTTTCGCGAAGCCGCAAGCGGCTTTACTCGCCATTTTCATGGCGTCGTGAAGATGCAACCAATGCTCATCTATACTTTTCGGTGGGATGGTAGCTAGCCTAGAGGCTAGCTCCGCTCGATACTTACTTGCAACAGGAGTTGCAGCCAGTTTACTAATATCAATCCGTTGGTGGTGGTCAATCCTCCGGCCACTGAAAAGTAAGGTGAGATTGGCGCAGACCAGGGCATGATCAGACTCCAGATAGGTACTCCAAAAGGAGCGGCAGTCTTGTACACAACCACGCCAGCGGTAGCTGATCGCGATGTGATCAATCTGAGTCCAGGCTTGGGATGCAGAGGGAGGACGCCAGGTGGCACACCGGCGATGACTGTGCCGGAAGTTAGTGCTGGCCAGAAACAGGTTGTGGTCTGTGCACAGTTGCAGCAAACGGTCCCCGTTATCTGTCCTGCGACCAACAAGTCCCCATCGGCCACCTAGACGACTCTCTTCTATGCCTAGACGCCCGACCGGTGCATTCAAGTCTCCGGCTAGTACTACAATATCTGTCGAACGCGCTTTCTGGAGAAGAACTGTTAACTGATGGTAAAACTCATCCTTGATTGCATCCGGGCTGCAGTCTGTCGGGGCATAGGCGGAGATGACGAAAAGACACCGTTTCTCACGCCGGTTTCTTCTCACTTTGATGGAACTTTCTGATCTAACAGCACATAACCGACTGTTAATGGGGATCCAATCGATTAGTGCTGCCTCAGCCCTAGCGCTTAGTGCGACGCCAACGCCAGCAAGACCAGACGAAGATGCCACAGGGTCCCCGGATAAGCGCACGTGGAACAAGCTTTTCGAGGCGACAGATGGAGAGCGGATTTGTAGTACTTCACTAGAGTCTTGAATACGGGTCTCGGATAGACAACAAACGTCAACATTAAGACCTTCCAAAGACATAGCCAGCCCTATCTGTTGTCTGATCTGCATTAGTGTGCGAACGTTGAAGGAAGCCAGCTTGAACGGCGTACGTGGTTTCAGAAAGACTGCCTCAGTATTCATAATCGGTGGAAGCATTCAATTTCAACCAGACAGTGACTGGAGATCGTTTAGATAGGACAGATTTTCCACCAAGAGCGAGCTGCTGCATAAGTTGAAGAGTAAGGTTACACAAATTGAGGATAAAAGGGGGTGAATTAGCGATATGGTAAGTAATAATAACAATAATAATAATAATAATAATAAAGGTAATAATAATAATAATGTAAATTGTCTTGCTTTTAGTATGAGCAGGGATATTATCGTCAATAGAGTTCATCATTTCATTCATTTGTGTGTGGGCTGTGATACTGCCCGGGTGCCCAAACCGAAGCAGGTGGTTTTCTTAGGGGACCACACCCCGAGCCTTTGACCTAAAGGTCTGATCCACAAGGCAGTGGAGCATCGTGAGGAGATGCAGTCCCATGGTAGCCGGTGACCAATGATAGGTTCTTCCGCCATTCGTTCCATCAGGATACTGGAGCCCATGTGCAACATTGGTTTGGAATCAGGGTTTTCCAACTCCCCTAGGTGGACCCTCCGTGTCCACCAATCCGGTTATAGCGCCGGACATTCGCTTTTCGTCCTCTCACTTTCGTAAACAGCACCCGTGGCACGAGAAGGCAGTGAGTAGGACTTCCCTGGCAGAGGCTATATATTCGCTGGCCATATGAGAGCATTTCGAGAGGGAGAGTAGACTCTCCCCACTCTCGGCCGTACCAGGGCATTTGGGGCATCTGCTTCGATTTAAGTAGTCAGATATATACTTTAAAATCTTATATAAGTCAGCTTAAGTGCTTATTGTATAGACTACAGTTTAACTGCTTTTCTCAAATCATGTTATGATTTTCGAGTAAATGCAGTAATCGTCACAATTATATTATGATTCAAAATAAAACATCCTCTTAAAATGATCTCTTACAGTTGTAATGTGACATACATGGATAAAGATAGCACGTGTCTTAAATGCATTAAAATACTGGAAATTCCATATATGTGCTAATCACTGAATCCCTTAAATTTCTGTTCCTAAAAATATAGAGATGATGGAATTTAATTGAATAATGGCAAAGTCATTTACTTGTACTGGTATACCTTACTACTTGATAATACCGT